ATGAACAACAACAACAACAACAGATGCTGCTGCTGCTATGAACAACAACAACAACAACAACAACAACAACAACAACAACAACAATAAATTAATAACATTTGCATATTAGGTTGAAATTTCCCAAGAACATATGTTAAATTATTGCTACACAGCAGCATTTTATTTAATAACTTAAGATAAAGGGAACTTTTACAGTCCTCTTTATAACGGTACATCCAAATGATATTTTAAATTTTAACTTTCCAAGTTTCCTAATAAAATTTTAAGGGTACCAACATCCAGTCGTGCCCCAAAGTTGAGAATGGCACAAATGTTGGTTTTCACAAAGTTTGCTGTCTCAGTTTTTATGATGGCGATTTGTACCAACACTAGTGATCTGATTGCAGACATCACTGCTTGTTAGATAGCACCCCAATCAACTATTTATTGAATCGTCAGGAACTTCAAGGAGAGGCTCAGCTGCAGTGAGGAAGGCTTCAAGACGTCCAGGAAAGTCAAGTAAGCATCAGGACCGTTTCCTAAAGAGGCTGCAGCTACAAGATTGGGTCACCACCGGTGCAGAGCGTGCTCAGGATGGCAGAGGGCATGATGGCGTGAGTGCATCTGAACGCACGGTCAAATGAAGGCTTTTGGAGGATGGCTCCAAAAAGTCTCTCCAAGAAAAACATCAAGAACAGACTGATATTCTGCAGGAAGTATAGGGATTGGACTGCAGAGGACTGGGGTGAAGTTACTTTCTCTGACTTCTGAATGTTTGGAACATCTGGAAAAATGATTGTCCAGAGAAGAAAAGGTGAACACTACCATGAGTCCTGTGTCAACAGTGAAGCATCCTTTTTTTTTTTTGACAGTAGAAACTTTTATTTTCAGAAAACATGGATAATAACCATTAAGACATCATGAGACATGCTCTTCATTCATAAATAAACTATACATAAACTGTGATTTCTACATAAAAAGGTGTTGCCCCTTTTCAGAGAACCAAAGTGACAAAATGTTTCTAATCAAGCGCAAAATCATGGAAGCAAAAAGAAAATCAGTTTGCAGAACTCCAAACTCAGTTACTTTACATCAGAATTTACAACGTACAAGATTGTATACAGCATTTTAAAAATACAGTACATGCTTTGGTAGAATTTAATATCCAAGATGAGTTCCTGAAGCCGTGGTGGAAAAGTTAGTCTCTGTGCTCAGTTTGTCCCTTTAGTCTCAGATGTACTGCCGGGGTGAGTATGCGGTTGGTGCAGCGTAAGGTTTGGTAGGCACGTAGGACCCTGAGGACGTGTACAGCCGGCTTGACGGAGGAGCATACACGGGACCGGCGTTTGCTGCAGGTGCATAAGGGTACATGGACGCCACAGGGTAATTTGGATAAAATTTCCTTTGAGGAGGACACGAGGTTGTCAGGATGATCCCTGCAATCAGAAGAATTCCAGCAGATGCCCAGCCGATGTAGATGGATGCTCCTATCTCCCTCCTCTGTGTGTCGAGGATTGCTGAGCTGGAATAGTCTGAGATGGTGATGGCTGCAGACCAACAGACTGGGATTAGGATTGCAATTGCAGATATGATGATAAGGAAGCCCGCTGTGACCACAGCAACGGCGTTTCCCAAGTCTGTCTTCAGGCAGCTGGTGCACTTGGCTCCAACGAATGAGATCAAGAAGCCAATGAGGCCGATGACCAGGCAGATGATGACCAGTGCTCGCGCGGCCTGCAGGTCCTGCGACATGCTCATCACATTGTTGGTCATCGAGCATTGCATCTGACCTGTGCTCTGCGTCACACACCTCATCCACAGTCCGTCCCAGATGATCTGACCTGTCTCAATGTTGGCTCCGACGTAGGAGGTCACCCTCCAAAGTGGTATCCCACATGTCACTGCTGCCAAAACGAGGCCTACGAAGCTTAGAACCTGACCTGCCGTTTCCTTAGCAATCTTCGACATGATGAGGAAGATTGTTCACGGCAGGAGTGCTCCCAGCGTCTCGTCGAGGAACACAGCTTTCTGACCAAGTGTTTGAACCAGAGTGAAGGAGGAGGAGGGCTAAGCTATTGTCAGGTGAGTTTCTCAAGTCAAACAAGATTCCTTTTTTTTTTGCAGGTTAAGGTGTGGTACTCAACTTTAAACAATATCCTTGTCAGGGTCAACAGTGAAGCATCCTGAGACCATTCATGTGTGGGAGTCCTTCTCATCCAGGGGAGTGGGCTCG